GCAGTTCAAGAATGTCGCGTTCTTCATCCTGTCGCCGTGGGGCCTACACACCGGCCCGTGCGCCACCACCTGGGTGCTGGCAGCTGGGCCCAACGGGGCAGCTAGTTTATGTGCCCTTGCCCCCACACCTCGGGATGCCCCCTCCTCCCTCAGTGGCACCCCAGCACCTGCCTGCGGCGCTGATGACTGGGATGGTTACCACAACGCCTGCCAGGCCAGTGGCCTCTGTACCTGTTACGGACCCCACCTCTTCAGGCGGGGCTTTGGACTCCAACCCAAGCCGCACATCTGCCGCGGACCCTCGCCGAGCGGACCTGGAGATGCTGATCGGCCCCAGCTCTGCTGGCTCGCTGGCCCTAGCATGCCAACCTGCTGCGGCCTCCGTCGCGGCCCCTGCCGCGGCCTCTGTCGTGGCCCCGCCCGCACCGCAGGCCGCCTTGACTCCACTGATGGTCCCCAGCACGGACCTCCCTGACCCAGTGATTCACGACGACGGGGAACCACTGGACTCTGACTCGGATGCTGAGCCACATGAGGCTCCTCAGCCGCTAGGTGGTGAGGACAATGTCTTGCCCGCAGACTTTAATAAATTCGCGGCTTTAGTGGAACGAATGATTAAGGCTTTGGAGATCCCCGCTCCCAAACCCCCGGAGCACGTGGAGGATCCAATGTTCCCTTCGGAGGAACAGAACGTAGTTGTGTCCTCCACCCTCCCACATCTCCCATACCTACTTAAACTGGCTAAAATAATTGATATGCCCCCTTCTTCGGTTCCGGCCGTGCCTAGACGCTTAGACTCTATGTACAAGATAGATATGGCCACTGCCAAATGGGTCTTAGCTCCTCCCAAGGCCAACACAGTGGTGGCCGAGGTGTCAAAGTCYAAACGCTCTAAGCCTTCCCAGACRGCRCCCCCTGACAGGGAGGGCAGGAAGCTGGACACACTGGGAAGGAAGGCCTATCTTTCCGCGGGCCTCTTTACGCGTATGGCCCACTACGCGACCTATATGTCAGGGTACCAGACCCTCCTCTGGAACCGGTTGCTACCCTACATAGAGGTCTTGCCACCCGAYGACCAGCGCTTCACTAGAGCCCTGCAGACCGAAGCCCTGGCCCTCGCCAAGCTCCAYAAGGACTTCGCGAAGCACATGGCGGAGGCCTCRGGCAACTTGTTCGCCACCGCCACCTCCATTAGGCGGCACGCTTGGTTACYAGCRGCAAATCTCTCGGAGGAGGGGAAGGCCCTCGCCGAGGACCTTCCCTTCCACGAGGAGGGGCTGTTCAATCCCAATACCGATGACCGGCTTAAACAGAAGCAAGATGTAAGGCAGTCTGCATCTAAGTTCGGCTACACATGGCAGCCGTACCCCCAACAAAAGGGGAGGTGGCAACCGAGTACCCCCTCCTATCGGAGGTCATTCGGTAACTCCTATTCTACACCCTTTAGAGGCAGATTCGGAGGCCAGRCTAGGTTCCAGGGGGGAAGGCGAACCCCCTACTCCCAGAAGCCAAGGGCACAACCCTTCCAGGGAAAATCCAAAGCTCCTGGCGCCTCAAAGAAGCGTCTTTGACGCCTCTCTAGCCAACTCTAAGCCGGGCACAACCCCAGCTGCATGCCCTTCCAGAACCCCACAGCCTAAGATACCCTTCCCTCTCTGTTTACATGTTGATGCTCAAGACYTTCCTTCAGGGCCGTTGCCCTTTTTCACCGACCGTCTCTCTGGGTTCTATTCTGAGTGGGAAAAGATTACCTCAGATCGTTGGGTATTAACTATTGTTTCACAAGGTTACTCTATAGAGTTTGATGATACCCCCAGGGTTGGTTTGTTCCGAGACACCCCATTTTCCATGCAACTCATGCAAGAAATTAGAATGTTACTAGATAAGGGGGCTGTTTCCATGGTTGACCCTGCTTCCGCTCCTTTCTGTTTTTATTCTCGTTACTTTTTGGTGATTAAGAAAGGTGGTGGGCTGCGTCCCATTTTGGACTTGCGAGAGCTCAATAAACACATCAAGCCGAAAAGGTTTAGAATGGTGACTCTTGCTTCTATAACCCCGCTTCTCCCTAAACGCGCCTGGTTCGCCACCGTCGACCTCAAGGACGCGTATTTCCATATTTCCATCGCCCCACACCACCGGAGGTTTTTGTCCTTTAGGATTAACGGTCAGTCTTACTGTTTTAATGTCCTCCCGTTTGGTCTTTCCACGGCCCCGAGGGTCTTTACCAAGTGTATGGCCGTGGTGATGGCCCACCTCAGGACCAGGGGAGTCACGGTCTACCCRTATATTGACGACTGGCTGATTGTGGCGGACACTTACCYTAAATTACAAACGCARGTTTCCATGGTCTTGTCTCTCCTCCAGTCCCTAGGTCTCGTCCTCAACCYGGAGAAGTCCGTCCTGGTGCCGACGCAGCAGATCCGGTTCATCGGGGTGCTCCTAGACTCGGTCCACGAGAAGGCCTACCTCCCAGAAGAACGCTTCACCACCATCGCAGATCTGGTCAAACAAGTTTTGGTCGAGCCCTACGTGACAGCCAGACAGCTACAGGTGTTACTGGGACACATGGCGTCAACTACATCGGCGATCCTGCATGCCAGGCTTCGTATGCGCCCACTACAGTCCTGGTTCCTGTCCACCTTCAATCCTTTGTTGGACTGCCGATCGACCAAACTGTCGGTCCCTCCCTGGGTTCGTTCCTCACTCCGATACTGGTTGGACCCTGCATGGGCTTGCTCAGGCCTGTCTTTCCACATCCCCTCTGCCACAAGAACTGTTACGACGGACTCCTCCCTAACAGGCTGGGGTGCGCATTCTCAGGGCCTGGTAGCTCACGGCATATGGTCAGGCCAAGAAAACGAGCTCCACATAAACGTTCTAGAGCTCATGGCCGTCGACAGAGCTCTAAAATCCTTCGAGAGGGTGGTCGTGGGTCAGGTAGTGCAGGTGCTTACCGACAATACGACGGTAATGTACTACCTGAACAAGCAGGGCGGTACCCACTCCCCAAACCTGTTGACGTTGTCCATCCAGATTTGGGAGTGGTGTATAGACAGGGGGATTCATCTTCTGGCCACACACGTACCCGGGGAGCAGAACGTGTTAGCGGATTCTCTCAGTCGCAACCCGTTGGCACACCACGAGTGGTCCCTGAACGGAGAGGAAGTTTACAGACTCTTCCGAGCGTGGGGAACTCCGGACATCGACCTGTTCGCGTCGACGTCCAACGCCAAGTGCCCCCTCTTTTGTGCGAGGGCTCACGCCTCCACGAGGGAGGGTTGTCTGGGGGATGCCTTCCTGCACACGTGGACGGGATGGACAACTTATGCCTTCCCTCCCTTCCCCCTGCTGCTCCGCACTGTAGCAAAGATACAGAGGGACGCCACCTGCTGCATCCTAATAACGCCCTGGTGGCCGAGACAGCCATGGTTCTCCCCTCTCCGTCACCTGGCGAGGGGAATATTCGTCCGGCTTCCCTCCAGACCCGATCTGCTGACATGTCAACAAGACCAAGTGCTGTACCCAGAGGTACACAGACTGAGGCTCACGGCATGGCGAATCCTCCCCATCGCTTAAGCCCTTTCTCCAATCTTCCTGACTCAGTGCTCCGGATCATTGAGGCGGCCCATAGGCCCTCTACTAAACGTTCCTATCTGTACAAATGGTCTAGATTCACATCCTTTTCTAGGGCGCGTGGTTTGGACCCTAGTACGGCATCGATAAATGTCATCCTTGACTTTTTGGCCTCCCTTTTGGACGCAGGCCTCTCTCACCCTTCCATCAAATGTTACCTAGCCGCCATCTCCTGGTTCCGCAGGAAAGCGGGTTTGCCTTCCTGCTTTGCAGACCCGTTAMTTAAGGACTTTCCTGAGAGGGATCTTAAACATTAGACCCCCTACTACCCCTGTAGTCCCCTCATGGAGCTTAGATTTGGTGCTCAGAGTACTGATGAGACCCCCATTTGAACCGATGGCGACAGTTAGCTTGTCCTACCTTTCGTGGAAGACCGCATTTTTGGTAGCGGTCACATCCGCTCGCCGGGCTAGCGAGCTCTGTGCCCTCAGGGCGGACCCACCTTACTTGAAGTTCCATTCTGACAAGGTTGTCCTAAGGACTGACATAGCCTTCCTGCCCAAAGTTTCTACGTCCTTCCACCTCTCCCAAGACTTGATTTTGCCCTCCTTTTTCCAGAACCCTACTTCCTCCTTGGAGCAAGGCCTACATCTCTTAGATGTCCGCAGGGCGTTGGCCTTCTATGTAGATAGGACTGCCCCTGTCAGGAAGACTCCTAGACTTTTCATAAAGTATCGACCTGATGTTCTGGGGGACCCTGTTTCTTCTCAACGACTGTCTTCATGGATAGTATCCACGATTCAACTAGCTTACCGCATGTCGGGCACCCACCTACCCCCCCCCCAGTGAGAGGCCATTCGACGAGGTCTGTCTCGACGTCCACAGCTCACTGGAAAGGAGTCCCTTTGGACGTAATTTGCCGGGCGGCCTTATGGTCGTCCCCTCTCTCTTTTGTCACACATTACAAGCTGGACGTTGTATCCAGAAGAGACGCACAGTTCGGCAGAGCTGTCTTGTTCTCCGCGGTGGCATGACGCCCACCATCCGAGGTACAGAGCTCGCTAATCTATCATATGTGCGATTCACAGGGACTACGACAGGAAACTATAGGTTGCTCACCTGTAACCATGGTTTCCTGAGTAGTCACCTGTGAATTCGCACATCCCCACCCGTCCTCCCCTCGAGTGTCATGCCCGCGTTCTGTCTGCTTTGTAGCGGAAAAGAACTGACGGCTGGCCCCTCCCACGGGCTACTTATACTCGGGGCGAGGTGGGTGGGGCCAGCTAGGAGTCAAGTGTTTTTTTTTCTTGTTCTAGAAGGTTCCGAAAGCTATTGCGCAAGCGCAGAGATATCATATGTGCGAATTCACAGGTGACTACTCAGGAAACCATGGTTACAGGTGAGCAACCTATAGTTCTTTCACTACTTCTTAGTGCTTCTGGTCAAGGGCTATTTCTCTGTTGCCCAAAACTCTTTGCTCGAGCTTGGCAAAGTGGCTTATCAATGCATGGAAGAGGCCGATCCTGCTATCCAGCTCCATGGAGCAAAAGTAAGAGTTTTTTTCTTTGTCATGAAAAACAAACAATCCAAAACAACACACTGTCCAATCTTCCCCATTCAGTGCAAAGGTGTTGATACTGTGAGCAGACCTTTTGCTTTTCCAAATGGAGAAAACAAGAAGCACTATGAAAGCTATATGTATCCTCTGTGTTGTCTGACTCAGTTCACCCTTTCTTCTTTTTGGCAGCTCCTCGATGAACTGGGTGTAGGCATAATACAACAGTATAAGCCAGACCTAGTGGATGCTCCAGATCAGCGGGTGCCTGTGGACCTGGTATGTAAATGCTGTTGATCTCACTCCATTTGTGCCCATCCTTGTTTTGAGAAATAAGGAAAACAGGGAGAGACAGTAGCTGACTCGCTCACTGTATGATCTGCCTTGTCTTCTTCCATTCCCAGTGGGTAGAACTACTCAGCAAAAGCCTTGTCTGCTCCATAGGTTGTAACATTCTGGACCAGGATGCTGAATGGGCCATTACCAGCAGCACTCCAAAACTCCCAGCATCCAACACTTCAGACCAGCACCTGCAATGCACTCTCCTCCATCTTACCAGAAGCTTTCAGTGGCCTCTCGGTATGTATGTATGTATGTGGTGTTCACTGAACATACCGAAATATAAAATGAGAAGTGAAATACAGTTTTTGGAGCTATGAAAATAGCTTGGTTTTCAATGGCAGGAAAAAGTTTTGGCATGTCCTGGCATGCAAGGCTTTAAGGAAATACCTCTGAATTTGATGACTTGCATTCTCCCCGTTGCTGATGGCAGAATGATAAAAAGATCCTCTGCATCACCATCCTCCTTGGACTCAACCACAGTGAGAACCCACTGGTGAAAGCTGCTGCTGCGCGAGCCCTTGGAGTTTATGTGGTCTTCCCATGTCTTCGGCAGGTGAGAGTTTGAGGCACCTTCGCCTTTCCTTTTTCCTTCCTCTTCCCTTTTTTCTTTTCCTTTTTCCTTTCCTTTTTTCCTTTCTTCTTTCCTTTTCCTTTCCTTTCCTCTCCTTTCCTTTTTCCTGTCCTGTCCTCTCCTTTGTTAGTTGTGAGATGGTACCTGACCTGTTTCTAAGTTGGCAGAAAGGAAAGATGATCACGTAACCATAATGATATTGTTAGGTATCAACTTGCCGCCTGGTTGTAAGCCGCCTTGAGTTACCTTCGGTTTCAAGAAAGGCAGGATAGAAATATCATAAAATAAATAAATAAATAATCCCAACCTTTAGCCCAAGGATCTACAGAGACATTTGCTGGAACACCCCAGCAAGCAAGAGTCCAAAAGTGGCAGGCTCAAACCCAGAACCTCAATCAATGGTTGATACCAAATGACGGACTCCCCCCTGGGCACATAGAAGACTGGGTGACTTGGAAGATGCTGAACAGACTGCACTCTGGCACCACGAGATACAGAGCCAACCTTAAGAAATGGGGCCACAAAGTGGAATCCATGACATGCGAGTGTGGAGAAGAGCAAACCACAGACCACCTGCTGCAATGCAACCTGAGCCCTGCCACATGCACAATGGAGGACCTTCTTGCGGCAACACCAGAGACACTCCAAGTGGCCAGCTACTGGTCAAAGGACATTTAATCAAGCTTGCAAACTTTGTGTTTTGTCTGTTTGTTTGTTTGTTTGTTTGTTTGTTTTGTTAAAAATGCAATACAACTGTCTGGTTGCTCCTGACACGATAAATAAATAGCCTAAGGAGCCTTCTCCTCATTCTTATTGTCTGTAGAAAAAGGAAGAGATCTGGCTTGTGATTGTGTGACTTTTTACTAGCACAGGCTCAACTTTTAGTTGCATACTAGCGTACATACCTGATGTTGCCCTTGTTTGCATTTTCTTTGTGGCTGTTTCTTTCCTTCCTTTCTCTCATACACCTTCTCCCTCTTTCTTTTCTTCCTTTCTTTCCTTCTTCCTTTGCTTTTCCTCATAGTCTCTTCGTCCTGTCTATTACCTGCCTTCATATCTCTTCCCTTTTTTCCTGTCTCTCCTTTTTTTCCTTATTTTTCCCTTCTCTCTTTCTTCCCTCACTTCTTTCATCCCTTTCCCCACTTTGTTTACTTTTTCTTTCCTTCACCTCATAACTTTTTCATTTCCTTCCTCCTCCTTTATTTTTCTTTCCTACTTCCTTTTCTTCTCCCTTTCTTTTCTTGTCTCTTGCTTCTTTCCTTCTCCTTCTTTCTCCCTTCAATCTCCAAACCGCTTTTTTCAAGCATGCTCTCTTATTTCCCAAGTAAATTCCTCTTTATGAGAAAGGCTGCTGGCCTCAACCAAGTGGCAACTCAGTTGGCTAGACAAGTTATAAAAAGGGAAATTAACCTGGCAAGAAAGGAGAAAACAAGTGGAGCGTGACTGCAAAGAGTTGCAGGGCCGTCGGAAAGTACAGAGAAGCAATTAATTTAACGATAGGGCGCAGTTAGTGCAAGTATAAGATTAGTAGGCCAAAGTAAGCAATTTTTGCAGTAGTGGGAATGCCAGTGGAAAGAAAATGTACACCAAGACCCTCTTCAGCACTAATAAAACTCGGTAAATAAGGCCCAGTCAAGGTGGTGGACATGTTGGGTATTGAAATTTAGCATGTGTTCTCTGAAGTGGAAGATGGGTTTTTGGAAAAACTAAGATTATGTTATAAAAGGAATGGTATGGCTTTATTGCGGGTTCTTATTTATTAATTTTTTTTACTGCATTTATATCCCACCTTCCTCACCCCGGAGGGGACTCAAAGCGGCCTTAAAACAGGCAGCAATTTGTTGCCATACACATATAGATCAAATTAGCAATTCAATTTAAACCAGAATTATTAAAATTGACAATTGAAATCTCACCAACCAAAACATAATCCAGGGCTGTTCCATTTGTCAGTCTCATTGTTTCATAGTCACTTATTGCATTGCTCCAGTTACTTGTCAAAAGGGTTGCTGTGAGTTTTCTGGGCTGTATGGCCGTGTTCCAGAAACATTCTCACCTGATGTTTCGCCTACATTTATTTATTTTATTTTTATTTTATTTATAAATCAATTTTCTATACCACCACTCCCCGATGGCTCGCCGCGGTTTACAAAATACACATGTGATACATTACATATAAGATCAAGAAAAACTTTGATCAACAAAATTCAAATGCCAACCTAAATAAATAAGTTTTACAAGCTCTACGAAAAGCAAGTAAATCTTGGAGAGCTCGTGTTCCCGCTGGCAAAGCATTCCATAGATAAGGAGCCACCACCGTGAAAGCTCTACACTTAGTAGACATCAGACGAATGGTCCTAAAATTAGGAACTTCAAGGAGATTCTGATCGTCTGAACAAAGTGATCTCGGGGATTGGTAAGGGGTGAGGCGGTCCCTCAAGTACTCTGGCCCCAGACCATATAAGGCCTTGAAGATAAGAATCAGCACTTTGAATATAATCCAATACTCAATCGGCAACCAGTGCAGTTGCTGCAAGATTGGAGTGATGTGGCACCTCGCTGGAACTCCTGCGAGAAGCCGGGCAGCAGCATTTTGCACTAGTTTAAGTTTCTGGATCACCGATAAAGGCAGGCCTATGTAGAGTGCATTACAGTAGTCCAACCTTGAGATGACCGTAGCCTGGATCACGGTGGCCAGGTCGTCCCTGGACAGATAGAGAGCCAGCTGCCTAGCCTGAAGCAGATGGAAAAGTGTGTCTCTGCTCGCAGCGGAGGCCTGAGCCTCCATCGTCAGCAGAGGGTCTAAAAGGACTCCCAGACTCTTTACCAAGGATGACAGGCATAATGTCACGCCATCCAGGGTAGGCAACCGGATCACCCCTATCTATGGCAGGTATCCACAGAGGTTGTGAGGTCTGTTGGAAACTAGGCAAGTGGGGTTTATATACCTGTGGAATGTCCGGGGTGGGAGAATGAATAATAAATAATGATATTTAATATAATAAATAATAACCTTTGTTTTTGTACCCCGCCACTAACTCCCTGAAGGGACTCAGGGCAGCTTAGACTAAGAACTCTTGTCTGTTGGAGGCAAGTGTGAATGTTGTAATTAATCACCTTGATTAGCATTGCAAAGCTTTAAAGCCTGGCTGCTTCCTGCCTGGGGGATCCTTTGTTGGGAGGTGATAGATGGCCCTGATTGTGTCTTGTCTGGAATTCCCCTGTTTTCTAAGTGTTCCTCTTTGTTTACTGTTCTGATTGTGGAGTTTTTTTAATATTGGCAGCCAGGTTGTGTTCATTTTTATGGTTTCCTCCTTTCTGTTGTCATTGTCCACATGCTTATGGATTTCAATGGCTTCTCTGTGTAGTCTGACACGGTGGTTGTGAGAATGATCCAGCATTTCTGTGTCCTCAAATAATATGTGGTGTCCGGGTTGGTTCATCAGGTGCTCTGCTATGGCTGACTTCTCTGGTTGAATTATTCTGTAGTGCCTTTGATGTTCCTTGATTTGTGTCTGGGCAATGCTGCTGCGTTTGGTGGTTCGTATGTAAACTTGTCCACAACTGTATGGTATATGGTAGACTCCTGCATAGGAGTGAGATAAATCCTCTTGTCCTTTGCTGAATGTAGCATTTATTGGATTTTCTTAGTGGATCTGTAGATAGTTTGTCGGTTGTGTTTCTTCATCAGCTTCCCTATGCAGTCAGTGGTTCCCCTGATGTATGATAAGAACACCTTTCCTTTGGGTGGATCTTGGTCTTTGAGCATTGCTCAGGGAGAGGAAAAGTGCCACCTAGTAACGCTCAATCTCTATTCTTAGGATGTTATGTTTGTTGCTGACACGGCCAATGCCATCCTGGACTCGCTGGGTGACAGTTCTCCAAACGTCCGAGCCAAAGCTGCATGGTCCTTGGGCAACCTGACGGACACCCTGATCATCAATATGTGAGTGGCTTCTGAGTGCTTCTTCCTCCAGTTAGCAACAGCATCCCCATTTTGAAAATCCACCCAAGAGAAAAAAGGGGAGAATTAATCCTTGAAGCCTTTCTGCTCTTAAGTGTTTGATTCCAGCAGTCATCCAAAGTGCCTGCAAATGGGAATCTGTTCTGAGATTCTTAGATGGAGGTTGAGCTTTCTCAAAAACCTTTTGTTGCAGGGAACTAATGGGACCAAGCTTCCAGGATGACTTTTCGGATCTCCTGTTGCTCAAAATGTTGTGGTCGGCTACCGTGGCCTCAAAAGACAAAGACAAGGTAACATGAAGATTGCGTGTTGTCACAATTGCAATTATTGGGTTGAGATACAGGAAATGTTGGAAATGTTGGAGTGTTGAGTTTTATTCCAGAGCAAAACATGTCATCGGAGGTTCCAACGCAGTTTAGAGGTTCTAAGGCAGTGTTTCTCAACCTTCCTCGTGCTGGGACCGGACCCCTTGTGGTGGTGACCCCCAACCATAACATTATTTTTGTTGCTACTTCATAACTGTAGTTTTGCTATTGTTATGAATCGTCATGTAAATATTTATTTATTTACTCTGCTTGTATACCGCCCCTCTCAGTCCGGAGGCGACTCGAGGTGGTTTACATTTGGCAATCAATGCCCCACAAGATAAAATACAGTGAAAAAAAATTACATATAGTATAAAACATATAAAAACAATAAACAATTAACAAAACCATAAAATACAGTTCTCAGCGTCTCATCATTAAAATGTGGGAGCCCCCGATGGCGCAGTGGGTGAAACCCCTGTGCCAGCAGGACTGAAGACCGACAGGTCGCAGGTTTGACTCCGGGGAGAGGCAGATGAGCTCCCTCTATCAACTCCAGCTCCTCATGCCGGGGACATGAGAGAAGCCTCGCACAAGAATGATAAAAAAAACATCAAATCATCCGGGCGTCCCGTGAGCAACGTACTTGCAGACGGCCAATTCTCTCACACCAAAAGTGACTTGCAGCTCCTCAAGTCGCTCCTGACACGACAAAAAAAACAAACATCATCATTACAATTGTTTCCCATCGCATCGTCCTGTTCTTCCATGAGTCTCAATCAGTTATACTGTGTCTGCAAATGCCTGCTCGAACAGCCAGGTCTTAACTCTCTTTCGAAATGTCAGGAGGGAGGGGGCCAATCTAATGTCCCTAGGGAGGGCATTCCATAGTTGGGGGGCCACCGCTGAGAAGGCCCTGTCTCTCGTTCCCACCAATCGGCTCTGCAAAGAAGGCGGGACCAAGAGCAGGGCCTCTCCAGATGATCTTAAACACCTAGATCAGTGGTTCTCAATCTGGGGTCCCCAGATGTTTTTAGCCTTCAATTCCCAGAAATCCTAACAGCTGGTAAACTGGCTGTGATTTCTGGGAGTTGTAGGCCAAAAATATCTGGGGACCCCAGGTTGAGAACCACTGACCTAGATGGTTCATAGGAAGAGATGCGTTCGGACAGGTAAACTGGGCCAGAACCATTTAGGGTTTTAAAGGCTAAAGCCAGCACTTTGAATTGTGCCCGGTAGCAAACTGGCAGCCAGTGGAGCTGGCACTACAAAGGAGTTGTACGCTCCCTGAGTGCCGCTCCTGTTAACAGCCTGGCTGCTGTCCGCTGGACCAATTGACGTTTCTGAACAGTGTTCAAAGGCAGCCCCACGTAGAGACCGTTGCGGTAGTCTATACGGGATGTAACCAGACTTGATACGCAGGGTGGATTTTCATTCACCTGACCAAATTTGGCACAAATACCCAATGCGCCCAAATTTGAATACTGGTGGGGTTGGGGAGAGAGATTGGTTTTGTCATTTGGGAATTGTAGTTGCTGGGATTTATAGTTCACCTACAATCAGATAGCATTCCGAACTCCACCAAAAATGGAATTGAACCAAACTTGGCACACAGAACTCCCATGAGCAAAAAGAAATACTGGAAATACTAGCCTTGAGTTTTGGAGTTTGTAGTTCACCTACATCCAGAGAGCACCAAGGACTCAAACAATGATGGATCTGAACCAAACTTGGCCCGAATACTCAATATACACAAATGTGAATGTTGGTGGAATTTGGGGAAAATAGATCCTGATATTTGGGAGTTGCAGTTGCTGGGATTTATAGTTTACCTACAATCAAAGAGCATCTAGTGGAATTTGGGGAAAATAGACCTTGACATTTGAGAGTTGTAGTTGCTGAGATTTATAGTTCTATCATGATCTATAATTTTTCTGAACTAGAAAAATGTACACCTTAATAAATGGGTATCAAAGCAGTGAACGACCTATTTAAAACAGTACAAATTGTAACACCTTACAAGAGTTCTCAAATTGGCCTTGCAGGTGAAGAGCAATGCTGTCCGAGCTTTAGGCAACCTCCTCCATTTTCTTCAGCCCTTCCACATCGCTAACCCAAGGTTTATCCAACCCATTGAGGACGCTATACAGGCCCTCATTTCTACAGTCCAGAGTGAAGCCACCATGAAAGTGCGCTGGAATGCTTGTTACGCACTTGGGAACGTCTTTAAAAACCCTGCCTTGCCCCTTGGTGAGTAAAAATATTAGCATATTGAGAGAAAACAGAAGAACAAGGCACAGTGGCCTCCTTCGTTTCCTGATTCTCCCACCTCTTATTTTATTTTATTATTATAGATTATAGATAGATCTGTTTATTGATTAGTTAACTGACTATAGGTAAAGGTAAAGGTTTTCCCCTGACATTAAGTCCAGTCGTGTCCGACTGGGGTGTGGTGCTCATCTCCATTTCTAAGCCAAAGAGCCGGCGTTGTCCTTAGACACCACCAAGGTCATGTGGCCACTGGCTCATGCCAGTGGCCACATGACCGTGGTGGTGTCTAAGGACAACGCCGGCTCTATGGCTTAGAAATGGAGATGAGCACCACATGGAGCGCCGTTACCTTCCCACCGGAGCGGTACCTATTGATCTCATATTTGCATGTTTTCGAATTGCTAGGTTGGCAGAAGATGGGGCTGACAGCAGAAGCTCACGCTGCTTCCCGGATTAGAACCTGCGACCTTTCGGTCAACAAGCTCAGCAGCTCAGCGCTTTAACCCACTGCGCCACCGGGGGCTCCTTTTTTAATATTTATTTGAACTTGATTATTTTTTTTTTGTAGTAATTTTTATTGAATGCATTTTAGTGTTTACAGAATAAAACTTGGGGAAAGGAGGGGATGTGTGTTTAGGGACGGGTAATTCTAGGTAAAAGGTTTAGGTATGATTGGGGAAGGGGTAGGGTATTATTATGTCATTGAACATCAAGAAAACCTAAGTGCTCTTCCAGCAGTCACCAGCCAACCTCTCTCCAATGCCAGAGATACAGCTTAATGGTGTAACATTAGAAAATGTTGACCATTTCCGCTACCTTGGCAGAGAGTGTTTGAGGACTGGGACATCCGTAGGGATACCAGGGTGCTTGTCTGTAAAGCTATTGTCCTCCCAACCCTGCTATATGCCTGCGAAACGTGGACTATCTACAGACGTCACATGCAACTCCTGGAACGATTCCATCAGCACTGCCTCTGGAAAATCCTGCAAATATCTTGGGAAGACAAGCAGACAAACGTCAGCATGCTAGAAGAAGCAAAGACCACCAGCATTGAAGCAATGCTCCTATACCATCAACTCTGCTCGACTGGCCATGTTGTCCAGATGCCCGACCACCATCTCCCAAAGCAGTTGCTCTACTCCGAACTCAAGAACGGAAAGCGGAATGTTGGTGGACAGGAAAAGAGATTTAAAGATGGGCTCAAAGCCAACCTTAAAATCTCTGGCATAGACACTGAGAACTGGGAAGCCCTGTCCCTTGAGCACTCCAGCTGGAGGTCAGCTGTGACCAGCAATGCTGCAGAATTTGAAGAGGCACAAATGGAGGGTGAAAAAGAGAAACGTGCCAGGAGGAAGGCGTGTCAAGCCAACCCCGACCGAGACCGCCTTCCACCTGGAAACCAATGTCCTCACTGCGGAAGAAGAAGGTCAAGAATAGGGCTCCACAGCCACCTACGGACCCACAAGAATACTGATCATGGAAGACTATCCTACTCGTCCAACAAGAGATCGCCTAATTCAAAAAAATTCAGAGTATTATTCTATCAGGTCAGTATGGGGACATGCAGGAATGGTTTTAGGTAAAAAATATAGGGTTGGGTGGGGGTAGTGGGGGGAGTTGTTGTTGACTCCCGAATCTCCTATCTCTCCTTATGGCTCGTCCCTACTTCTTTCCTTTCTTTTCTTCCTGTCTCTTCTCAATCCTGGGCGTTTATCATAAAGTCATTGAATAGTTTCCAATCTGTCCTCTTGATCAGTCCTCCCTGCGGGTCTTTCAAGGCATATGTCAGGTTATCCATTTCTTTTATTTTGTTGACTTCATTTAGCCATTCTTCTCTATTTGCTACCCGGGGCTCCTTAACTGACTATATCTATATCTATAGCCCCCAGTGTCACAGTGGGTTAAACCACTGAGCTGCTGAACTTGCTGACTAAAAGGTTGCAGGTTCAAATCTAGGGAACAGGGTGAGCTCCTGCTGTTAGCCCCAGCTTCTGCCAATCTAGCAGTTTGAAAACGCGCAAATGTGATATCATTTCCTACCTACCTAACGGTGCTCCATGCAGCCATGCCGGCCATATGACCTTGGAGGTATCTACAGACAACGCTGGCTCTTCAGCTTAGAAATGGAGACTTAATGTCTGGGGAAACCTTTACCTTTACCCGGGGTCCTCAAACTTTTTAAACAGAGAGCCAGGCCACAGTCCCTCAAACTGGAGGGCCAGATTATAATTTGAAAAAAAACATGAATGAATTCCTATGCACACTGCACGTATCTTATCTGTAGTGCAAAAAACACTTAAAAATAATACAATAATTAAAATGAATAATTTTAACAAATTGTAACAAATATGGTATTTCAATGGGAAGTGTGGGCCTGCTTTTGGCTGATGAGATAGGATTGTTGTTGTTGTTGTTGTTGTTGTTGTTGTGTGTTTTCAAGTCATTTCAGACATAGGTTGACCCTGAGCAAGGGCCGGGTAAATGACCTTGGAGGACCGTATTCAGCCCCCGGGCCTTAGTTTGAGGATCCCTGACCTTTACCATTTACTTTACTTTCAATCCTGTAGGTGAAGCCCCTTGGAGCGCCCAAGCCTACCGTGCCCTCATGTTGGCGATCCAGGCTTGCAAGAATTTCAAAGTCCGCATCAAATCTGCCTCTGCCCTCGCAATCCCATCCGAAAGGAAGCGTTACGGGACTCCGGAGCAGTTCTCCCAGATTTGGAGTGCGTTGGTGGTTGCCTTACGACGGAGTGAGGAGTCAGAGGACTTCCTGGAGTTCAAATACAGCGCCAGTTTGCGGACACAGCTCTGCCACACACTGTTCCACTTGTTGAGCTTGGCTGAGGAGGTGGACCTGCTGTCCCTCCGGATGTCGGTGGCTGAGCATGGAGAGACCATAGGGTCCTACCTGTTGCAGTACATAAAATCGGGAGGCGAGGACAAGGATCTGGGGCCTGGCCAGCCCTTTTTGGAAAGAGACAAGACCCTGCGGAAGGCCCTTGAGCACATTCAAGCCCTGGAGGAAGAAGGGGACGAAGGTTGCCCCATGAAAAGTGGAATGGTGGCTTACCTGCAGGACATTTTGAAAACCCACCACAGTTCCATGGGACTTGCAGAAGCTTAGGGAAGGTCTATGTTTGGGGCTTTAAGCCGTATCTGAAACTTGTCCAGTTTCTGTTCTTTCTCTCTTTCCACAATTGGCTCTTTGGGAGGCTTTGGGTACATTTTATTTTTATCAGGAAGCCTTGATTTTTGCAGAATACCTTCTCTGCTAACCAATAGTGTATCAACTTCATTTTACGTTTGTTCTGTGGATAAGAGGAGGGTGATTAAAATGATCAAGGGTTTGGAGAACAAGCCCTATGAGGAGCGGCTTAAAAAGCTCTGAAGAAGAGAAGGCTGAGAGGAGACGTGATAACCATGTATAAATATGTGAGAGGAAGTCATAGGGAGGAGGGAGCGAACTTGTTTTCTGCTGCTCTGGAGACTAGGATGCAGAGAGTTCCACTGCTGAATGGCTCTCACAGTCAGGAAGTTCTTCCTAATATTCCTGTAGTTTGAAGCCATTGCTCCCTTGTGTCCTAGTCTCCAGGGCAGCAGAAAGCAAGTCTGCTCCCTCCTCCCTATGACTTCTCTTTAAAAAAAATTTTTTAAAAAAATACATATTGTACACACACACAACATTTACAATTCCCACCACCAACATGAGGATTGTTTTCTTTTACATATTCATTTCTTTTTTAGACAATCTTTATATCTTTATACATTTCCATCCTATATACTATATAACATTTGTATCTTATTTCTCACGGCTTGATCTCCGGATTAATTCATGATATAATTCTTTAGCCTTGTCCATCTTTCTTCCATTTCTCTTATTCTATTTTCATTGATTTTTGAATCATTTTATTTCACATTCATAATTTTGAATTCCATTTGCTCCACCATATATTGGTATTATCTCCCTATGACTTCTCCACACACACACACACACACACACACATATCTCCACATAGCCAACAGTCTCCTCTCAGCCTTCTCTTCTTCAGGCTAAACATGCCTAGCTCTTTAAGCCGCTCCTCATAGGGATTGTTCTCCAGACCCTTGATCATTTTAGTCACCCTCCTATGGACACATTCCAGCTTGTCGACATCTCCCTTCAATTGTGGTGCTCAAAGCTGGACACATTGTGATTCCAGGCGTGGTCAGATCAAGACCACAAATCATAGCTCTTATACCACTCACAGGAGCTGTGTGGGAGCCATCAGTCCATATTTTCCATTAAATTCCCTTGGTTTCATCACTAGCTGCCTGCTTCACAATTTCTCCTGCTTGTCCTCCCAGCCTCAGTGCGTTCAGTAGGTCCTAAGTACTCCTTTTGAAATCTAAAAATATGGGGCTAGAACTAACATGGGGGGAAATCGGGTGTAGTCTCCTGCACCACGAAAAAGAGTAGTTTAACATATGTCAGCAAGACTTCATTCAAAACCACAATGAGTCTAGGAAATGAAACAGCCAAATCAGGATCAGCCTTGCATAAGGAAACAACCAAACAAACAAAAAACTACTTCAAGATTTTTTTTCCCTGGAATGTGTTCAGGATTAATTTTTTTTCTTTCACTATCCTCCCCTTTTCTGTTAATAAAATAATCCCTGGAAACACAGCTACTGCATTATATACCTATGCTAGCTTGGGTACCTTGCGTTGCCCAGGTTATTTGAAAAAGCCATTTTTAATTGTACAAAATACATAAGGCTTTAGGTGAACTACAACGCACATCAGGCCAGTTTTTTTTTTTTGTCCTGTCAGGAGCGACTTGAAAAGCTGCAAGTTGCTTCTGGTGTGAGAAAATTGGCCGTCTGCAAGGACGTTGACCAGGGGATGCCCGGATGATTTTTGATGTTGTTATCATCCTTGTGGGAGGCTTCTCTCATGTCCCCGCATGAGGAGCTGGAGCTGATAGAGGGAGCTCATCCGCCTCTCCCCGGATTCAAACCTGCGACCTGTCGGTCTTCAGTCCTGCCAGCAAAGGGGTTTAACCTACTGCGCCACCAGGGGCTCATCAGGCCAGGTTAGCCCCAAGAAATTCCATCCGTATTTAAAGTTTGTTATTTTGGGCATCGGTGGGGTTCAGTGTGCTCTCTGGCTGTAGGGTAAACTATAACTCCCACTATGGTCAGTCCACTCAAACCCCTCTAGTAGGTTGAGTTAGTCATGGGGGTTCTGCGTGCCAAGTTTAGTCCAGGTCCATCATCAGTGGAGGTCAAAGTTTCTCTGGTGGGTGAACAATTCCCAGAAAGGAAGGTCAATTCCCCTCAAACCCCTCCAGAAATCAAATATCAGCATATCAGGTGCGTGTTCCAAGTTTGGTCCAGATACATCGGTGTTTGGGTTCACAATGCTCTCTGGGTGTAGGTGAACTACAACTCCCCCAAATCAAGGTAAAATTTCCCCAAAGACCTCCAGTATTTTTTGCGGGTCATGGGAGCTCTATGTGCCAAGTTTGGTCCAATTCCATTTTTGGTAAGGTTCAGAGTGCTCACTGATTGCAGTTGAACTATAAATCTCTGTTCCTACAACTCCAAAATATCCAGGCCAATTCCTCTCAAAACCCACCAGTATTCAAATTTTGGCATATTGGGTATGCATGCCAAGTTTGGTCCAAATCCATCATTGTTAAGGGTTCACAGTGCACTCTGGGTGAATTACAAGTTCTATAAATCCCTCCAAAGACCTCCAGTATGTTTTGTTGGTCATAGGGGAGGGGGGTGGTGGTTGTGTGTGCTAAGTTAGTTCCAGGTCCATCGTTGGAGTTCAGAGTGATCTTCAAGTGCAGATGAACTATACATCCCAGGAATTGTCCCCGTATGAAAGCCTTCACTTGGGTGATGGGCAGGATGGTGCTGGTGGAGGGCGTTGGCAGGGCTCTTGCACATGTTTACGGCGATCTGCTTCCCTGGAGACTAGGACGCGAAACAATGGCTTCAAACTACAAGAAAGGAGATTCCATCTGAACATGAGGAAGAACTTCCTGACTGAGAGCCGTTCAGCAGTGGAACTCTCTGCCCTGGAGTGTGGTGGAGGCTCCTTCTTTGGAAGCTTTTAAACAGAGGCTGGGTGGCCATCTGTCAGGGGTGCTTTGAATGCAATTTTCCTGCTTCTTGGCAGAATGGGGTTGGACTGGATGGCCCAGGAGGTCTCTTCCAACTCTAGGATTCTACGATCTATTATGACCTGCAAAGTCATTGGAGGGAGGAGCATTGGTGTCTCCTGAGTTGTGAGAGCTATTGCTGTTTATGGAAGCATGAACTTGTCTGTGTAAGTGGACACTCCAGCTCCTTGATTGCACATGAATTATAAATCCCAATACCTACAACTCCAAAATGCCCAGGCCAATTCCCCTCAAAACCCACCAGTATTCAAATTTGGGCATATCGGGTATGCATGCCAAGTGTGGTCCAGATCCATTGTTTGGGTTCAGAGATTGCTCTGGATGTAGGTGAACTACAACTCTATAAATCTCTCCAAAATGTTTTGTTGGTCATGGGGGTTCTGTGTGCCACGTTAGTTCCAGGTCCATCGTTGGTAGAGTTCAGAGTGATCTTCGAGTGCAGCTGAACTATACATCCCAGGTCCAACAACAACAACAATAATAATACTTTATTTATATACCGTCCAATCTCCCTGAGAGGACTCAGGACGGTTACCAACATAGGGCAAAACATTAAATTGCCAAACGACACAAAAACTATACAAAAATGAGAGATTATAAAAACAAACATAATCCTATTAAAACCATCACAACATATAAAAGCCAGTTTCAGTTTTACTCCATCAGACAGGATTCAAAATACCAATGGCCAGAATTATGAAGTGGACAACTCCTATCAATCATGGTGATGTCTCCCCAAACCTCTCTATAGTATGTTCTGAAATGGCACTGAAACAGGGAGGTGGAAAATGGAAGCATACAGATGCTGGGAAAGTTCAGTGCTTGTTTTATCTTGGGGATGGGTAACCCAAATTGAGACAGTTGGAGAGTGCGACATTTACTGGGGGTGAAATAGAGTAAATTTGCAGGAACAGTGATCCCAGCGAAACATTAGGAAGAATGCCCTGACAGTGGGAAATGTTTGTCAGGGGAAGATGCTGCCTCGCAGTATCTCTGGATGGCCATCTGTCGGGAGGGCTTTGCTTGTGTGCCTTCTGCATGGCAGAAAGAGGTTAGACTGGATGGCCTCTCTCCCAACTCCATGAATCTATTATAGGAATTGCACAAGAAACTCGGAATACATTTTACGGAAGAGAATTTACTTTGCATGCCATCTAATATCCAAACCTCTTTACTATGTTCAGTTGCTGATCATTTCCTCTGTTTGCTGTGTGCCATAGAAAAGAACAGGAAAGGGAGAGGCAGTGAGAGGGGTGATGCTAATTCTACACCAATGGAGAGAGTAAGAAACACTGGGATGCCTGTGGCGGAAGAAAAAAAACAGAAAATCTAGGATGAAATTGTCACCAAATGAAAGCCTTCACTTGGGTGGTGGGCAGGATGGTGTATCTGGAGGCCACTGGCAGGGTTCTTGGACATGTTCATGGTGCACACTATAACCTGGAATGTCATTGGATGGAGGGCCATTGGTGTCTCCTGAGCAGGGGCGACTCAACCCATTACGCAAAGTAAGCATTTGCAGTATAGTTGATTTTGCCCAGGGGCGCTCTTGGGGGGAAATAGACATTGACATATGCGAGTTGTAGTTACTGGGATGTATACTTCACCTACAATCAAAGAGCATTCTGAACTCCACGAATGATGGAATTGAACCAAATAAGGCACGCAGAACTCTCACGACAAACAAAAATATATATCAGTGATTGATTTGGAGGGGGGGGGGGATACTGTTTGCTTATCGTTGAAAATTACCTAGGGGTGTTTCTGCTCCTGAGTCTTGGGAGCTAGAGCTGTTTATGGAAGCATGAACTTGTCTGTGTAAGTGGACACTCTAGCCACATACACACATACATATTGTCACTTTTATTATGTGCATAGATTGGGGTGATTGAAGGAAGTCTTGCTTCAATTTGACCAACTTTTGAAACAACTGCCTTCCCACCTGCAGTGCAAAGCCATAAAAGAGCTTGGTTATCTCAAATGTACGAAGTGCCCCCGGAGAGGCCCAGAATGCTAATAATCACCTGCCAGAGTGAGATTAGGGTGGTATTTGGGGTCTCCTGAATTGCTGTCCATTAAGGCCTGGCCTGCGATTAAATGTGACTGACTTTGGGGAAAGAGAGTCATAAAAGGATCAAGAAGACAGGTCAGGTTGGAATCTATTGCTTCCCTGTCTTTTCTCCTCCTTCAAAGCCTATAAAGGATACATCCGGGAAACGCAAGGCATGACCCTTTAGGAGATTACCCCCCCCCCCCAAATCCTGATTTAAGGAGGGATGCACTGGGAAGGGGTTCACATTGGTCGAGCAACAAACAAGCAGCTAATCTCAAATCAAGCAAACCTGAGCTTTAAAAAAGAAATGGTGGCCAGCTGTAGGGAGGTTTTGGTATGGGACCAAAGTCTAACCCTACATGGGGTTAAACTGGGAATCTGCAGAGCTCAGCATAAGGAAATATAGTCATTTTTGCATGCTTGATGGCTTGCTGCGATTGTTTTTTTTTGGTTGCAGAGAGAGGAACTGCCATTATATATGTATGTGTACCTGTCAAGTTGCCTCTTTGCCCACTATAGAAAAATGAGTATTGGTTGAGGTGGAATTTTGAGGCAGCGCTTTGAGTCTTGAAGAGAGGAAAGCAGTATGGATAATAATTAATCAGTATGGATAATAATAATTATTATTATCAGTATGGAGTTTGGCCTAGACAAATGTGCCACAGTAGCATTAAAAAAAGGGGAAATTACTCACAGCGAGGGCATAGAGATGCCAAACGGACAAACCATAAAATGCAATCATAGAATTATAGAATCCTAGAGTTGGGGGAGACCTCATGGGCCACTCAGTCCA